ACAGCACTAGAAAAAACATAAAATAACAAAAATGTATTTTATTTCAACTAGTTGCCAAGGCAACATTTCTCACTTTCATTTATATATGAACTAAAACCTAAATAAAAAAACTATATATTAAATATATTTAAAAAGAAACAAAATACAAAAAAATTACAAAAACACAACAAAATTACTAAAACTTTATCTAAAATAAAAAATAAAAACAAACGAATTTAAAGCTATAATATTATCTCAATGATACTAAAATAACACTGATGTAGATAAAGCAATAAGCTTTTGAAGCAGTAGTATGCTACATTGTTGTCGCATGATCTGGCTATATTGCACTACAGTCTCACCTGTAGAATTCCTCTCGCTCTCGTTCATCCAGCTCAGTAATGATGTACGTGAGCGTGCGCTCGATCCTGGGAATAATCACTGAGAGGAAAAACACACGAGCATCACATTATCTCGTTTTTTTTCTTTACAAGAAGCCTGAAGGTTTCATTCTCATTCCGAGGCGGCTGTGAGATCTCACCGTGCTCGATGGCGTTCACACGGCGGTTTGTGATCTTAATGGCCTCGTCCAGCGTCACAAAAGAGGTCTGTATGTGAATGAATCACATAAGACATTGAGAAATTTGTATTAAATGTAAAAAAAAAAAACTACAACAATTTTTCATGGTTTGTCAAATTTTCTTTTATGGATATGAATAAATATATTCATACCTGCAGTGAGGCCAGCTCTACAAGAAGCTCGACTGCTTTGGCGTAGTTCCTCTTCAGCCGAGACAGCTGCTCTCCACCTCTGGCCAAACCAGTGAGCTCATAACCTACAGACAAGAAAAAATGCCTGAAATGACACCTGAAAGTGTTCAAACGATCTCCAGTTTCACAGGTATATGTTAATCAAGGAATAGTTTAGCCAAAAATGAACTTTTACTGAAAATGTGCTCACCCTCAGGCCATCCGAGATGTAGATGAGTTTGTTTCTTCATCAGATTTGGAGAAATGTAGCATTGCATCACTGTCTCAGCAATGGATGCTCTGCAGTGAATGGGTGCCGTCAGAATGAGAGTCCAAACAGCTGATAAAAACATCACAATAATCCACAAGTAATCCACACCACTCCAGTCCATCAGTTAACATCTTGTGAAGCAAAAAGAAACAAATCCATCATTAAGACCCTTTTAACATCAAACCATTGCTTCCGGCCAAAATACGAGTCTATAATCCATAATATTAGCAACAGTTAAATTGCTTTGATGGATTTGCTTCTTACAAACACGCAGCTTTTCACTACACAAGACATTAACTGATGGACTGGAGTGGTGTGGATTATTGTGATGTTTTTATCAGCTGTTTGGACTCTCATTCTGACGGCACCCATTCACTGCAGAGCATCCATTGCTGAGCGAGTGATGCAATGCTACATTTCTCCAAATCTGATGAAGAAACAAACTCATCTTGGATGGCCTGAGGGTGAGCACAGTTTCAGCAAACGTTCATTTTTGGGTGAACTGTTCCTTTAGAACATAAACGGAATATGATTCTTACTGTCTCCTCCCTCCTGATAATGCTCAAACACCGGTAGAGTAACTCCTGAGAACAAACACAGGTGACGCTCATGACAAGGCGATCAATTAAAGAAGAAATCGGCCAGTTTTTCACATAAGACGTCATTTAGCTCGCAAACCTGCAACGTTGTCCTTTTTTGCTCTGACCTTCACCTGGGCCTTATTCACATTCTGAATGACCGTAGTACTGATGGGACAGAATTTGGTGAGACCTGGTGCCAGGTTCGTCCTGTGATGCATCATATTTATGAAAAGCTTTGCTTTAATGTGATTTTTAACTACCTGAAGTCACCAGCAGCAAATTTGGCCTCAGCTAATGAAAAGGCGGCTTCTCTCATCACCTCTCCCATCAGCGTCTTAGTCTGAAAGATTAAAATAGTCACATCATCATTTCGAAAAATAATATTCAATTAAAAAACTATGACAAAAAACACACCATATATACAACATATAAAATACATTTTAAAAAGCACAGGTATGATGTTATACCTCAATGATTTTCCTAAGAATCTGACGAAATCGCATGGACAGAGCATCGGCTTTCTTCTTCAGCAAATTCCGGCCAGTTTGAGCTCCTTTCAGTCGAGCTTTCATAATGGTCTGAGCCCTGATGCAACAAAAAAGTATAGAATACAGCGTTTAATACATTTTAAGGGAACAGTATGACATTTCAGGCATGCAATTTGCATACGATTACATTTTCATACTTCCTAAAAAATGCACATATATTTTACATTTTATTTTTCTTATGTGATTTTTTTTTTATTGTATAAATTGCACTATTATAGGTTATATATATACTATGCATTTTTGTTCAGTATCTCTCAAGTTATAGAAGGGCTCGCATGACTGTGAATAATATCACTTCCTCTTATGAATTACTGCACGATTTAGTTTCACATTATTTATATGTATCCAAAATATTGCCATCCATCATATAGTTATATATTTATTAGCCAAAATGTATCTGCATTATAATATATTGACAAATATGATATGCGTGTTTGTGCAATATTTAAACACATACGAAATGTATATAAAATGCATCATATATTTAAAATGTGCAACTACAAAACAACAAAGCAACACATTCTATACAAATATTAAAGATGCACGAGCACGACTCCAGCGCATTTAATATGATCGTAGTTCGTGCTTTGAGATCGTACCTGCTTTATAAAACCATAAACTGATAAAATATGTATGAATCAGATTCTGATTTGCCTTTATGAGCCGTAATACTCACATTCTAGAGGGAAATACGTCGATACGATCTTTTCCGGACATTTTTTTTCTTTTTTTAAACACTGTATCAAACTACTGAGACGCTTTGCTGTTGAAGTCGTCAAATATACAGTTTAAATATAGTGACAGTTTATTTAATATCACGATTAAATGATTATAATCCCATGGCTATGACCCCTGGATACAAGACGTAAGATTTGATCAGCTGACTGGAGGTCATGTGATTCCTCCTGAACGCGGCGATTGGTCGCGTCACTTCCGTGCGTGTATATCCGTACGTAGCGGTTTTCACATTTCAAAATAACGCTTTTTATTTTTTATTATTACTATTATTATTATTATTTATTTAGTTACATCACATACAGGTACAAGGCAAATATTAGGCAATGGTGTACAGTTTAAAGCATATTAAAAAAAATTTAAAAAAAAAACATAAAATTAACATAAACATAAAAAAATACTAGGATAAAAAAGTGCTATGTAATATTAGCGCAGTTACATAAATCTGAAAAGCTTTAGAATGTTTACAAGCTTCTTATTTTGTGATCTCATATTAGAAAGGGTTTCCAAATATATTTTAAGATCAGTGTTACAAAAGTTAATATTATGATTATATATATATATATTAATATTATAATTATATGATGGTTCTTTTTAATTATTTTTGAATTGTGAATATAAAACTTAGCTGAAACTATTAACAGATTAATAATGTAGTTTTGCTTTTCAGAAAAATATGGGTTTTGAAAACAAAGTAAAATATCATGAGGTTCTAAATGAAGGGCTTTGTTTAATTTTTTTTTTTTTGTTATTTTAAAGTCAACTCAAAATGAAATAGAAAAAGGGCAATAGAAAAATAAATGTTCAATATCTTCTACTATTATATTACAAAAGGTACATTTAGCCTATCACAAACACTATGAATATATCTACATTTACAGGATAACATCTGTGAATAATTTTGTAAAGTACTTCTTTTGCTTTATAAATAACATATTTATATGGTAATATCCAAATGCTATGCCAAAATATACAGTGAGGTTTAAGCCATTTTGATTTAGGCTACATGGAGGATTGGAGACAACATTAAAGGAGTTTCTTATAAAACTGTTATTAAAACGTTTGTCAAAAAAGGAGAGACCATTTACAAAAAGTTGGGGATTTTGTAGGGTTGTAAATAACGCTCAGCAAGAATTACAGTAATGCAATTTGTTTTGTTTCCCTAAAAAGAAATTGACCTTTTATTTTATATAGTTTGCTTAAAGGGGTCATAGGATGCTACATGCACTTTTACAAGTTGTTTGAACTGAAATGTGTGTTGGCAGTGTGTGTACACAACCACCCTATAATGATAAAAATCCACCCGGTGTTCTTTTTGTTTAATCTGGTTAAATTTTTTCCCCTTTCTCAAATCGAGCCGATCTCAGATGCCTGTCAGTGTGACGTCACACAGACAGGCCCCTCCCACGATAGTTTGATTGACAGTAGCGTTTCAGCACAGACTGGACTGGTGTCTTACCTTAGCTCCGCCCTGAGTGAGCTGTCATCAGTCCGCCATTGTTTCACCGCCGGAGCAGATGTAGACAAGAATGACTCCTAACAAGCGATTGAGGTGTTCTGTTGTTGGATGTAATAATGAACAGCAGTCGTCATTTACTCCCGACATCTGAGCCGCTGAAGACGCAGTGGATTACGTTTGTTTCTGAAGGGAATGCACCCCCGATCTACCTAAATGCGTCTATGTTCGCGCGAATCATTCATGATCCAGCTTCACCTACAGAAGAAGTGAGTATAATGTTTTGTAATGAATCTTTGCAAATCGCCTTTCCTAATAATGTGCTAATTAGCAAGCGGCTAAAGTAAACAGTCTCTCTGGAAGCTCTGAAGAGAGGGGCGGGGTCAGCAGAGCTCATTAACATTTAAAGGGAAATGCTACAAAAACAGACTTTTCATTAAGACCCTAAAGAATCATATCAACTTGTGGTAAATGGGCATCCGATGACCCCTTTAATGTTTTATTAATATGCTTTTTAATATTATTTTTACTTTGCTTTTTGTCGTTGTCTTTTCTGATTTCAGCACATCCATGTGTTATCGGAGGATATGAGATGATTTTACTTTGTAAAGAATCTGTTTCTATATAACTTTATTTGTGAAATCTCCTCTTAAAAACGTGCATACGTGACTTTTATTCTGAAGTGTGATTGACGGCGGCCGCGGTGACGCAACATCCTGCTGCTGCTTCGTTCTTTCTCGGCTCGCAGGATCAATGGGCAACTAACGCTCGCTGAAAACTACAGTTTCTGGAGATTTAAAGGGTCTAAAGTGAGCCGATTGTGACAAGTGTCAGGTGGGAATGAGTTACCTGTTCTTCTGTGATCGTTGGGCTCATGTGGAGCTCGTGTTAGAGATGTAACGAGGGTTTGAATGAGTGCTGTCAAACAGCATGTGCCGCATGCGCTCTTCACTGATGATCAGATCAGACACTGAGCAATAAACAGCTTAATACAATAGATGCCTTAGATAGATAGCTAGATAGATGCACTTTTTGAAATCTTCAGGGAAATATGTAAACATTGTGTAAATGAGGTGAACAGTGCAACATTGAACATAAACTACACGTTATACAATATACAACATATTATTTACATTATAAATACATTATAAAGCAGGCAATGGCACAGACTTCTGTTCTCTGTAGACTAGGACATTAGTGAATTTCTCTGAGAACACAGTTTTCAGTCTGGATGTCCTGTACTGAGCACATTCAGGGCTTTAAATATGACTGATATTGACAGAATGATCAAATTTAGCACTCTTAGGGAAATATGGTAATATTTAGCAATTATCATTTATATCTGGCTAATTTTCCAATTGTTTGTCGTGAATAAACATCTCAGAAAAATGTGATTGGAATATGATTTTTTGTTACGAAACAGGTCTTCTGTAGAGGACACCAGGACAAACGGCTGTTAATCAGGCATTTTGGGGAAACACAAGAAGAAATTATAGAACAATATTCCTATGAAATATGAGATATTCTTATGAAAATGTTGCCAAGTTATTACTCCCATTATACCACTTCTTTTTTCATTATGGTTTGCCTCAAGAACACATTAATGTGCAAATTAGATGCAATGTGTAGATGCATCGGAATACCAGTTTATGGACATTTTATGCACATATTCCATAAAGTATAGCAGTGTATCAAATCATTCTGTTATATCTTTCATAACATAGTTGAGAATCATCTTTGTACAAAGTTTGGCTAAAAATAGCCTGAAACCTAAAAACTGATTGGTGAATGAAAAAAACAAGTCATTGTTTTTGCCTATACATGCATTTTCTATTTTTATTTTTATTTTTTGAAAAACTTATATGAATAAAATATCTTAAATATGTTTTTTCAAAAAAAAAAATTTCTACGTTTGTTTTTTTAATGCTCCAACTAATGTAATGACATAGAAAACAACAAAATTTACAAAACAGTTTTTTATGGTTTTCAGGAGGATACACAGAATACTGTACACCAGGGGTTTTCAAGTTTAGAGAAAAATATTGACAAATAAAATTGAGATTAAAATAATGGCATTAAAAAAATAAATACAACAAATAAAAAATGAATATGGATAAATTAAAAAATCGATTGAAATAAAATAATGCACAGTACTGTACTATAGTGAACAGTGTTATTTCAGATTAATTGAGATGCTATTATAGTTTTTAATTAATATTTTGAATCAGTTTTTATTTTTATATTTTCTGTCTTTCATTTAGTTACATTTTTAGTACTTTATATATATATATATATATAGAGAGAGAGAGAGAGAGAGAGAGAGAGATATATATTAGTAATTTAGTGTGTGTGTGTAATATAGTTTTATTAATTTTTGTTTTAGTTATTTTAGTACATCAAGTTAAACTAAATTAAAATGAGTAATGTTGCCTTGGCAACTAGCTGAAATAAAAAGAATGAAAATGTTTTTTTTATGGTTTTAATTTTCATTTTTAGTTAAATATACTAAAAAACATTTTTGTCAACTATAATAACTCTGATAGTGTGTAGGATAGGAACAAACTTAATACCTTAACTTAATACAAACTAAATATTTTCCAAATCATATTTATAATATAAATGTATTTTTTTACAGTATAAATTGGTTCTTTATAGATGCAAATATATAGCTGCCTTTTAAATTTTACAGTGGGGGTCCCTTACTTCAGAATGATCATATTTGGGTTTCTGTGGCATCTAAAAGACTAAAAACCAGTTGACTGTATATCTAATAGGACTAATGGAAATAAATCAGACATCAGATCTGATAAAAATGAATGCAGTCTCGTGCTCAGTAAAGGATTACTAGTTATCGCCTGCATTGTTTTGATATGTTCTCATTGTATATTTTTAACAAGCTCTTCAAACTCAAAAAATATTTGCAATTCGTTTACAAAAATATACACATTTCAGAAACCTCAAAAAATATTATTTTGAAAATAATTTTAAATTAAATGAATAAAAATAATTTATAAAAAATACACAAGTCAACACATAAAATAAATGAAAATATCTCAAATCAAAGTGTAGGTATGATGTTGTGCATTTATTGTGTTGCGTAGAGATGCCGGGCCTCAGCTGTAGGTTTTACCAGCACCGCTTCCCAGAGGTGGAGGATGTGGTGATGGTGAACGTGCGCTCCATCGCTGAGATGGGCGCGTATGTCAGTCTGCTGGAGTACAACAACATTGAGGGCATGATCCTGCTGAGCGAACTGTCCCGCAGACGCATCCGCTCCATCAACAAACTCATCCGCATCGGACGCAACGAATGTGTGGTGGTCATCAGAGTGGACAAAGAGAAGGGTGAGGATGTGCTGTCTTACTTTAAAGGGGTCATATGATGTTGCTAAAAATAACATTATTTAACACTGATTTCTAGTCGTATCCTTCCAAAAGAGCCAGCGGCTAGAGTGAGCGGAGGCCGGCGGGCTTGCAGCAACCACATGTGACGACCCCGGGCTGGACTCCGCTTCGTCCACGGTGAAAGCCGATCCGGTGATCCACAGCGCGAAGTTGATGTATTTCCTCAGCGACCAGCACGGATCAGCTCCAGGCATGACGAAGCAGATATCGTCCTCTTTTGGAAGACCAAACAAAGTAGTTTCACTTTCACAACGAAACACACGGCAACAACAAAACTACAGCGAGAATAAAAGTTACGTCTTCTTTCTTTGCTTGAACATTTGGGCGGCGTTATGCAAATCTTCCCACATAGTGAGGTAGGTATGTGGGGGCGTGTTAGAACGAGCCGTTTTAGGTAGGCGTGGTTGACTCTTAACTTTTATAAAGAATATCTCTTTGGATTTGAGACTTTAGTCTTTGCAACTTGACAGATCTTCTTTATGCACCAAGAGCTTGTAACACTCCAAAGAGAACGAAAAAATTGAAATCGCATCATATGACCCCTTTAACCACTTCCTTCAATCCATCAGAATACTTTAAACTGTTACCCATAACAACAAACAACTGTTTAAAACTGTATATAAATTGTACTTTTAAAAAGCAGGAACTCACAGGGCTACAATATTATGATAAAAATCATTATTGCTCTCTATGGTGTAATAATGCTCATTAATGTTGATTAATAGAATACATATGTAGAAACGGCACGTCATATTCTGGCTAACGTCGGTTCATGACGTTAGTCTAGTCTAGCGCAAGTTATGCAAAAAATCCCGTAATAATCACTTGAAATAAATCTATTATTTGCATCATAGCTGCACTTCGTTGTTTATGATGAGAGAATTCGCGAGCGTGCAGAATTCAGACAGTGAACTCACACTCAACAAAACATTTCAGTGCTGAACAATTTAAACGGTTTGCTCGTTTTCAGAGCTGACCAAACCAAATGGTCGGTGCATCCGAAACCACGTACTGTCTAAAGGTACTACATTTGAATTTGAATTTACTTCACAACCGTTAAAAAAGTACATTCTATATAGTATGAATGAGGGTACCAGAGATTGTTTTACTATAGGGAGATGAGAGGGTCTGTGTTACTTACTATTGGAGAAAGCGTAACGTCAACTTGGATCACGTGTGCTTTAGTAACCAATCACATTACAGCTTTGACATAATTGAATTTCAGAGTTGTGCGACACTCAATCACCGTTTACGGATACCATAGGAATGAATGAGAAATATCGTAAGCTGAATCCCAGCTGTCGCAAAAAGTCAGTGACTTCTCTTATAAAACCGCATTTTTTCCGGTGTAAACTCTAAAAATAGTTCAATCCAAAAGCATTGTTGAAGATTAGCCAACAGGCTGTCGATTCATTAAATGATAAGCTGTTTCCTCTAAAAAGCTGTTTATTCGGTGTAGTGAAGCCTCTCCTCCATTGACATCCATTCAAACAAAACGGCCTCTGGTCTCCTTTCCCACGTACTGCCAAAGGTTGCAGGCTTGCCTTCTGGTGGCTTTGGCACTACATCTGCCATGTTGTTACTGTCACATGACCTACCACAGCGTCAGCTGCGTCGCTTCACTGCCATTCATAAATCCTCTCCCGTGGCCTCATGGGATAGTAAAGTAAAATAGTAGGTCAGATACAGAAGCCCTTAACACAACTCTACGCTGAAAGAACAAAGAAGGTGGTGAGGAGTATTCTAGCAGATGGTTCTCATCCTCTCGTCATCTCGGTTCTCGTCAGTTTGAGCCTTTGAAGAATGGAAGGCGCTATCAGATTCCTTAAGAGGTCTTTTATTCCTAATGCCATTAAAATCCTCAACTCTGCAAGTGACTGATATCGGCATGAATTGTCTATCAATATATATATATTTTTAAACTGTCTGTTTAGTCTTTTTATGTATTGGTGAGCCAAAGAAAAATTTCCACCTTGGTGGACAATAAAGATATACTCTACTCTACTTTTTGGTTACCAAAATTCTTCAAATATCTTCTTTTGTGTTTAACAGAAGAGAGAAACTCATACAGGTTTGAAGTAATATGAGGGTGAGTAAATGATTTTAAAAAGTGATTGAGTAAAAAATTTGTATTTTTTGTGCACATACTGTTTTTCACATACTATATAGTAGGGAAGTATGCGATACTCAATACGTGTCAGTCGTATAGTTTTGAATGGGGAAAAATGCAACGCTCAATATGGCCCCGCCTTCTGAGTAAAAGAGCCAATCACTAATCGGTAAAGTCATTGCGTCACTGCAGCTGCCGTTAGAAGTCCCGGTTGCTATAGAAACCGTCAGCGTTCTGAGAAAAATACGCTTTTTTGACGCTATTTGAGCAAAAGAAACAACAGTTGTTGTCAGATTTCATTGGTGATTTCAAATATGAAATTTAATCGTAAGCTTGGTGAACAGTTTTGGAGAATTTGATGAGATAGGAGATGGCCGCCGAGTGAAATGACTTGCCTTAAAGGGACTTTGACCAAACTAAACAGCGCATTGTCATCGCTGACAAACCGAAACGCCTCTGATTGGCCATTGCATCCATAAGCTCAACAAAAACGCGTGTGATTGGTTGTTAGTCTAGTCTAATGTAACGTGCGCATATCTAAATGTAATTCCGCAAATTGACAGTTTTCATAAATTTTCATATTTCATTTTAATCGTGACAGTCATAATAGATTTAATTCAGTTGTGCAGGGTCAATTTGTGCCCCTTTATCTTGTATTTGTGTGGCATTTTTGTCACAGGCCCCCATTAATTTCCAACCCTGGTTTTACATTTGACCATTTCGAGGTGTTTTTCTTTCTTTTTCTTTAGGATACATTGATTTGTCCAAGAGAAGAGTGTCTCCGGAAGAAGCCATCAAGTGTGAGGATAAATTCACCAAATCTAAAACCGTGAGTATGCATTTTTTCGAAAATGGAAGTAAAATTCTGTGTTTTTTGTGTGGTTTGAAGATGTTGTGGTCATTGTGCTGCAGGTGTACAGTATTTTACGGCATGTGGCTGAAGTGTTGGAGTACACTAAGGACGAACAGCTGGAGAGTTTGTTCCAGCGAACCGCTTGGGTGTTTGACGAGAAATACAAGAAGCCTGGATACGGCGCCTATGACGTCTTCAAACAGGCCGTGTCGTGAGTGTTCAAGCACTAAACGGAGAAAGACTTTTAAGTGAACATGAAAATGTTTTGCTTATTTTCTTGTTTTATTTCCAGCGATCCCTCCATCCTGGACGGTTTGGATCTGACAGAGGAGGAGAGGGACGTGCTCATCGACAACATCAACAGACGCCTCACTCCACAGGCTGTCAAAATCAGAGCGGGTATTTATCATAAAAATCTGTTGCACTTTTCACAATGCAGATAGTTCCAGTGCAGAGTAATTAAAAGTATTGTAACATTTTTTAAACTTAAAAAAAAATTGTAGTTAATTTTAAACTTTTATTTAATTAAACTTTCTATAATTATTTATTATTAATTATAATTTATATTATTATTAGTGCTGTCAAACGATTAATCGCATCCAATATAAACGTTTTTTGTTTACATAATATGTGTGTGTACTGTGTATATTTATTATGTATATATAAATACACACACATGCATGTGTATATTTAAGAAAAATGTTTTTTTATATATAAAATATTAATATATAATATAAATTATATTTGAAAAAAAAAAAAATATATATATATATACATTTAAATATTTTTTTAATTCATTCATGTATGTTTGTGTATTTATATATATACATAATAAATATACACAGTACACACACATATATTTTGTAAACAAATTTTTTTTATTTTGGATGCAATTACTCACGATTAATCATTTGACAGCACTAGTTAGTTTTATTATTATTATTTATTATTTTTGTTTCCAGCCAGTAATCCACAACCATGACAGACACTGTAACTTCCATATATTTATTTACTTTTTTTTTTTTTTTTTACTTCTCTTTTCAAATATTCTCTGCATTTTCAAATGTTTTCAAATGCAAAAAATCTATGAGGCTTCAGTAATTTTGAAAAAAATCATATATATACTAGTCATTTAGATTTGTTTTTTAAAGAAATTAATACGAACTGTTTTCAACACTGATAATAATAAATAGAAAAGTTATTTTAAATTGTAATAATATTTCACAATATTACTTAAAAATATTTTTGAACCCCAAACTTTTGAACAGAAGTGTTTATATATGAAAAAATAAATAAAAAATGTATTCTTTAAAAAAAAAAATTCTTTCAGATCCATTAAATACTCTACGAAGCCAAGCTTTTTATTAATTGCTTTCCTTTTTAATGTATTTAAGGTTCAAAGAAGAAAAAATTAAAAATACATAAAAAGCAGATTTAAATAAATCATAATAAAATTCATTAAAATAAAAATGGATTAAAATAAACACTAAAAACATTTGATTAAAATTAAGACATAGTACAAAGTTCAAAAAACAAAAAAAACTATTTTGTTCTCCCTTTCATATGTGCCATATATACGTTCATGTATGTTTAGCATGATGTTTGCTTTATCCCGTGGACAGACATTGAGGTGGCGTGTTATGGATATGAAGGCATTGATGCTGTCAAAGACGCTCTGAGGGCGGGGCTTAACTGCTCCACAGAGGCCATGCCAATCAAGGTGCGATCAGCTTCCTTTATATTCTGCTCTGCCAGGTTCATGTGCTGCAGACTCTGTGATTAAAAGTGCGTCGTTTTGCTTTCAGATAAACCTGATTGCACCGCCGCGATACGTCATGACCACCACCACTCTGGAGCGCACCGAGGGTCTGTCAGTGCTCCACCAGGCCATGACCGCCATCAAGGAGCGCATCGAGGAGAAGCGAGGAGTCTTCAATGTCCAGATGGAGGTCAGACACTTTAGAGCTTCATAAATGTACTAAATCGCACTGAATACACGTCATCTTTTTGCACTGTTTTTGAGTTTAGACCTCTTTAAAAAACGGAGAAACCAAAAATATAATGCAATATACTGTATATGCGCATTGTATAAAAGTATTTGCTCTAATTGCATTCTCATGCATGAATGTTTCTCATCATGCAGTATACAAGATATTATTTACAATATACAGAATACAGTAGGTTGAGGGTTTTCAAACTGGCATCTGGAGACCAAATGTAAAGAAAACAGTGTAATGAATAAATGAAAAGAAAATATGATTGAGATGATATAAACTAAATACAAATAAATACCTAAAATAATAAAGAAATATGAATAAGATACACAAAATACAGATTAAAATAAAAATGGGTTAAAAATAATAAAATTAAAAAAGGATTAAAACATAGTACAGTTCTATAGTGAGTAGAAAAAATGTAATGAAACAAAAAATACAATGCAAAATGTATGCATACATCAAAAATTAATTGATTAAAATAGTATTGATTAAATAAATGATTAAAATAAACAATTTAAAAATAGGATTTAAATAAATTAATATAGTACAGTACTATAGTGAGTAGAAATAACAATGCAATATATAGAGAAAATTTAGAGAAAAGTGTAATAAGTAATAATTATATATTTATTTTTTAAATTCTTTCAGATCCATTGAACACTGTATGAAGCAATGCTTTCTTAAACTATATTTTTTCCCTTTTTTAAAAATTGGATTAAATTAATACATAGTGCAGTACTATAGCGAGTAGAAAAAGCACAAAAATCCAATGCAATATATAAGCACATTTTATTAAAGTGTTTGCTCTGAATGCATTCTCATGCATGGATGTTTCTCTTCAGCCCAAAGTGGTGACGGACACAGACGAGACAGAACTGCAGCGGCAGCTGGAGCGTCTGGAGCGAGAAAACGCAGAGGTGGACGGCGATGACGACGCGGAGGAGATGGAGGCCAAAACAGACGAGTAGATCAACAACTACTTCAGCTCAGAAACCCGTTCAGATGAACTGATGCTGCAGAGAATTCACTTTTACACAAACATCATAAAGCTGATTTTCTGAACCTTGGCCTTTTAACCCTTCACAGCTCTGATGAATATTAACATTTAAGCTGATTCAACAATGCAGAGTGAAGACTGATGTTCTCTGAAGTAAAACCTGTTTCTCGCTCTGCTGCAATCTCAGTAAAATACTAGAAAGTTGCTGGAAGTTTTGTATTTTTTTGCATCTGTATTTACATCTTGACATGCTGCAAAGCTACTGTTTAATAATACTTGAAAGTATGGACCGAGTGAAAATTTTATTCAAAATAGCTAGTCAGAAACATGAACGTAAAAAAACAAGTTAAACTTTTTAATTGTACTTCGCAAAAATAAAAATCCAATTTATACATTATATATATTCATTTTAAAAGTTTTCAAATATAGTATCTAAGTGACATTTCAGCATTGTTTAACCTAGCAAAACTAGAGAATTTTCAGATTTAAGCATTTTGAATTATTTTCTACATGCAAAATGAATAAATGAAAATGTTTTAAGACAAAATCAAGGTTTGGGTGAGCAGAAAAATTTTTTTTCCCAGCAAATATTTGAGATTAACTCAGCATCTAATGTTAATAATTTGATTAGTTGCTTGACTACCCTAATTGTTACCCAGTATTTACTGTAATTATAATCCACTCACAGGTAAAAACATAAAATGTTAAATTCATAATTAGTTCATATTTAATAATGTTCACTTAAACACACATTTTACTTCAAACCATTTAATGTATTGCAAGATTTTCCTGTTTATTATAATTTACTAAGACCTTTTTTTTTTTTACTTGGAATAAATACTGACAAATAAAATCATATATATATAAACTTAAAATTTCAGCTAGTTGCAAAGGCAACTTTTGTAATTTAAATTTCAACTTGAACTTAACCAAAACTGATATAAATAGTAAAAAAAAATTAAAATAGTGAAAATTATAATAGCGTTATAAGTTGAAACAATTTTTTTTAATGAAAACAAATGCAAAAACGGCCTATAAGTGAAGAATTAACTTGTGTGAAATGCAAAGCTTCCTTAAATAAGTATACTAATTAATCACTTCACACCCTGAAAATAAACCATGCAGTGTCAATTTTTATGCCAAAGTTAATATTCAATAATTTTACTGTTCCAAGTAAACATGCATGGACTGACGCGCAGCTTCAAAGCTGAAACCAGGACACATTAAAATGCACACAAAAAAATTTTACTAAAAAAAAAAAAAAAAGATTCACTTTTATTCAAAACACATCCACTGATAAGTACAAAAACAAAGACAATCAATCGTTTTGATGTCAATCAGTTTAGCGAGAGCTTCTGAACAGTGTCGGGGTCCAATCACAACTGCTTTAGTTTTAGAGAAACAACTGGGGAAAACTCTTTGGTTCGGTTGGTGAGAGCGACCAAAAGAACAGAAACGGTAAAATCACAACCCAGACGAGATTGGCAATCATTACAGTAACAATTTACAATGGCTTCCTCACAGAAAGAAGCGCTAAGCGGCCGAGACGTAGCTACGCTGAAGACGGATTCAACAGGAAGGCCCTGAGAAACCAAACCTCTTCCTCTCGGTACTCGTCGCTGCTGCTGCTGCTCTTACGGAGGCGTCTGGGACGCGGCTCAATATGAATTAACTCCAAAGGTCACAAATGGTCGAGTTTCCCAAGTTGTTTTGAAATCTAGATGAGCTGTCCGGCCCAAAGGGGAAGTAAAAAGCAAAGTTCATGGGCGTTCGCTGCTTGTTCATTTCCCGAGGCCGATCTTCTTGGCTTCAGTTTCGTAAATCAATAACCTCCACATTTTAACTATGAAGACCTCGGCCTCTTCATCCAGCACCTGAGGAGACGGAGGTAAAGAGTTCAGATTGTGTAGTTGTGGAAATATGCCTTCAAAACTGTGCGAAAGAGCAAACTTACCATCGCAACGTCGTCCAAGATGCCTTGAGGTGTGCTGTGGGCCATTACCTGAGGACACACAGAAGCAGATGGAGACTGGAAGACTGTCGCTGCTGAGATTCAAACATCTACTGCATTTAAGGCTCATTCGGAGTCAAAACTGATTCAAGTAACACTAAATTAAACAAAATCATTTCAGTATTTCTACTTCAAAATTTCATTAATTTTATTAGCAATTATGTTATTAATTAAACAAATTCATAAATGTATTCATATAGTATTTCAATTAATTTATTATGAATTATGTATTTTTATTTTATTAAAATAAACAAATTCATATATTCAAATATTGTATCTAAAATATTTATTTTTAATTATTTTTAATTATTTTATTACTTTATTAATGAAAATAAGAGTGTTTAAATGAATTATTTTAATGTTTCATTTTTTATTGATTATTTATTTTTAATTATTTTTCTTACTTTAATCAATAAAAAAATGAAACATTCAAATAATTCATTTAAATACTCTTATTTTTCATTAATAATGAAAAATAAATTGACAAAGTAATTCATTTAAATACTATTTGAATATATTTTTCAGTTTATTTTTATTAATAAAAATAATGAATTAATTTAAATACTATTTTATTTTTCATTCATAAAAATCATTTAAATAATCAAATAAAATTATTCAATTAAATACTGTGAAAACGCTGTCAATTTATTTTTCATTAAGAAAAATGTTTAAAAATATGTTTAAATACTCTGTCATTAATAAAAATTATTTTAAAATTCATTTAAATACTATATTTTACTTTTCATTAATAAATCGTAAACATCTTTAAAATTAAATAAAATAATTCATTTAAATACCATTCGTATACATTTAATTCTTTAATTATTTTACTATTTTATAAATCAACTACAGCATTTAAAGGGGAGGTCTAATGCTATTTCATGCAGTAAAGAGTTGGATTCTCATGCTGAACATGACCAAAGTTTCAAAAAACGATTTGGACGCATGACGGAGTATTTCTGTGCACTATCATTCTGAAAGATGTAGCAAAATTATTCCTCTTCAGCGCTCAGCCTCTTTCTTCATTCAGAAACAGAACAAAACATCTTACCTTGGAGCAAACAAAGTCAACTAATGTGGCTTCTTCTTCACCAATGTACTCTACGATCTTCTTATTGATCCACGGTCGAATACGCTTCTCCATAAGTGCCTGTGAACGGTGGAAACATTCAAAAACACAAGTTATACATTAAACATACATTAAAACAAGAAGAAAAGCCCACAAACACAAATATATGGCCCTATGATTTCCACGATGTGGAGAAAACAGACTAAATCCTGGAACCCTTCACTTGATTACAAGTTTTTGATAATAAATTAGTATTAAATTATAAATCCTGAAAAAACAACAGTTTTTTATAAAAAATACAGAATTTCTGAAAAAAGAAAAAAATATTCACAGAGCCCTATTACATATGTAAAAAAAGTAAATTATTAAGCTGTTAAAGTTATTAGAAATGCCTTTTTGATTATTTAAAAAAAATAATTAAACCATTAAAATGAAACACTGAAAAATAAAAATTTGGGAAAAATAAAAAAAAATTATTAGAGACCTAAAAATTTTTTTTTTTTGTTACACTTTTAATAAATTGTTGTTAAACTGTATAATTTTCATATCCCATTATTGTAAACATTTTAATTAGAGATCGACCGATATATCGATTTACCAATATTTTCCCCGATATTTAAGCATTTTACCATAATCGGATATCGGTTTTGTAATATCGGATTCACCGATAAACGGCGCCATCTTTTGGGTGTTTTGAGAATTGCGCGCAGGATCGCCATTGCAGTGCGTCTGAGGGGAGACAAGACAACAACAACGGCATGGTGCAGGTACTTGATTTGCTGTAGTTAGTAAACTTTATTTAAGATAACAGCATTACATAAATGCCTGATATGTAGTTTATGCAGCTTGGAGTAACTCACGGAGTCATGTAAAATAATCCGTCAAGATCCTCTCCCAATAAAGACGTAACTTTGCATGAGTTAAATAATACAGCCATGAATGAGCACATGTTGGAAATAAAAGCGCTGAATTTAATTCTCTCTCTGTTGT